AAAAAAAAAAAAAAAAAAAAGGAAGGGTGGGAGCAAAGCTTGGTGGCCCATACCTGTAACTCCAACTGTTTGGGAGTCTGAGTCAGGAGGACTGCAAGGTCAAGGCCAGTCTGGGCAACTTTAACAAGACTCTATTTCAAATGGACCTTGAGCGCTTGTTTGGAGGTCCTAGCAGGGGAGCACGGCTACACGAATACCTTTGACCGAGAAGACACTCCTCCTCTATCCGGGGTAGTCGTCCTCTTCGACCAAGCGCGCAGCTTCCGGACGGAAGCACGTGGAGTGGTGAGGGAGAAAGGGCACACCTGCCTCGCCAGCCAGATCAGTGGAGTCAACCCTGGCGATCAATGCGGGGACTGATGTCGCGGCCAGCTCGCCCTCACATCTAAGACTCTATTTCAAAACAAAGTTTATAAAGGGCTGAGAGTGTAACTCAGTGGTAAAGTGCTTGCCTAGCGTTTCCAAGGCCCTGGGTTCTGTCCCTGTCTGAGCTCTTGGTTCTAGGTGAGGTGGAGGGGCTGGCATCTGGCAAGGTTTTTTTCACCGTGTCATTCCCTGGCGGAAGGGCAAAAGAAAGCAGGAGATCGCAGTTGCAGCCTGAAGCTGGGTTATGAAAGGCACTAATCCACCTGAGGGTGTGGCCTTCCTGATGGAACCTCCCCTGGCCCTGGTGTGTTTGAATTCAGTTGCCAGCCCATGCTTTTCTTTTCGTTTTCGTTTTCTTTTTCTTTTTTTTTTGGTACCAGGGATCGAACTGGGGTCATTGTGCTTGCGCAGCAAGCAGCGAAACCACTGAGCTAAATCCCCGGGCCCAGCACATGCTTTTCTGGGGGACATGTTCAAAACCACAGCAGGGATTGGGATCTCAGTTTTGGACTGCAGAACCAGTTCAGTATCTGTCATGTTAGTCTAAACCTGTTGTAAAACTCATTTTTGTGCACCAGCAGAGAATCACAAGAATTGCAGTTGAAGCAAGAATTGCACTGGTGTGTAAATTTCCCCTCAACTTTCCACTAGGAGTTACGTGTGTGTGTGTGTGTGTGTGTGTAAGTGGGACACTGAGGGTGGAACCCACAGCCTTCCAACTGAGCTCAACCCTTTTAAAATTTTGTGTTTATTTTGAGATGGGGTCTTGGTGATCTTGAATTTTCAGTCTTCCTGCCTCAGCCTCCCACAGTACTGGGACTGCCTGCAGCCTGCTTGTCTTAGTTTATTAGAGGTCTAAGTAAGGCTTTCTTTTGCTTCTTGGCTTTCTGAAGAGTGGGTCACTGTAAGTTGTGCAGCTCTTCTCTGGTAATGTCCTTTACTCTGATTTTTCCATCTGCTCTGAACTACTGCAGCTGAGTGCAGGCCAGGCCATCCAGCTGGAATGTTAGTTTTCGGAAACATTATTTTCATAATTGCTATGAGTGAATCCAGGAAAGCGCTGCAGATTCCTTTTATTTTGGCACGTTTTATGAATGTGATGAATGTGCAATGTGATTTCTTAAAGTTTTCTCTTCCGGTAGTAGAGCACTCTTACTGTTTCCCTTCTAGTGCAGTCATGTTTGAAATTAAGAAGATCTGTTGCATTGGTGCGGGCTACGTCGGGGGACCCACCTGCAGTGTCATTGCTCAGATGTGCCCTGAAATCAAGGTGACAGTCGTGGATGTCAACGAGTCAAGAATCAATGCGTGGAATTCTCCTACCCTTCCTATTTATGAGGTAAATGTATTAAACAACGCTTTGTTCTTCTGAGGTAAATGTATTAAACAGCGCTTTGTTCTTGTGCTCTTTGTTTTCTTTTTTCTTTTCTGGTACCAGGAATTGAACTCAGGAGCTTTTACTTGCCAGACAGGCACAGCACCACTGAGCTAAATCCCCAGTCTTTTTTTTTTTTTTTTTATGTTTTCTTTTCATTTTTCTTTTTCTTATTGGTACATTTTAAATATACATAATGATAACATTCATCATAGGGAATTTGTACCTCCACATGATATATCTTCCTGCTTGTTTTTTTCCCATTCCCCTCCCCTCCCCTCCCTTTAACCCTTCTTCTCATTTACAAAAGCTTTGTTTCCATTTTTTTCCTTTTGTTCTTTTTTTTTCTTGTCCCTTCCTTCCTTTCTTTCCCCCTTACCCCTTCCTTGTTCCCTTGCCCATTTGAACATTTTTTTCCCATTCCTCAGTATCTGTTATGCATTTTGGTCCTTATTTACAATTTTGGTTTCTCACACCAGAGAAACAGTGCGATATCTAAGCATGTGTTTCTGATTTATTTCACTTCAAGGTACATCAGTTCACTTCAGTGCTCTCAAGGTACATCCATTTAGCTAGAATTGTCTTGAGCTTACCTTCTTTATGGCAGAGTAGTACTCCATTGTATAAAAAACCATATCTTCTTTTTTTTTTGGTATCGGGGGGTCAAACTCGGGTCCTTGCGCTTGCGAGGCAGGCAGCGGAACCACTGGGCTAAATCCCTGGCCAAAACCATATCTTCTTTATTCATTAGCTGTTAGGCATTTGGGCCGTTTCCAAGATTTATCTGTTATAGACTGTGCTGCTATAAACATGGGTGTGCATATATTGCTTTAGTATGCTGCTTTTAATTCTTTTGGGAAGATACCGAGAAGGGGGATAGCTAGGTGGAATTGAACCTCTGGTTTTATTTTTTATTTATTTATTTTTTTGGTACTAGGGATCAAACTCAGGTCCTTGCTCATGTGGGGCAGGTGATGGAACCACTGAGCTAAATCCCTGGCCCTTTATATTTTTTATTTAAAAAAAATTGTTTTGGTACCAGGGATTGAACTCAGGACCTTGCGCTTGTGAGTCAGAAGTGGACTAATTTTATTTTTTGAGGAATCTTCACACTGATTTCCAGTGATTGCGCCAGTCTATGCTCCTACCAACAGTAGAGAAGGGTTTCTTTTTCTCTACAGCTCCTCCAGCATTTGTTATTGGTTGATTTCTTGATAACAGCCATTCTTTCTGGAGATGGAATCTCAGCATCGTTGGTTTTTTTTTTTTTGGTACTGGGGATCGAATTTGGGACCTTGTGCTTGCAAGACAGGTGGTGGAACCACTGAGCTAAATCCCCAGCCCTCAGCATTGTTTTAATTTGCGTCTCTCAAATGACCAGTGATGTTGAACTTTTTTTTTTGTACCAGGAATTGAATTCATGGCCTCGCACTTGCCAGACAGATGCTGTGCCATTGAGCTATATTCCTGGCCCCATTGAACATTTTTTCATATATTTATGTGCTGTTTCTACTCCTTCATCTGAGAAGTGTGTATTCATTGCAGATGCCCGTTTTTGGATTGGGTCTTTAAATTTAGGGGGTCTGATTTTTTTGAGTTCTTTATATATTCTAGATATTAGTCATTTGTCTGAGGAACAGCTGGTAAAAATTTTTTCCCACACTGTGGGTTATCTCCACTCTGTTGGTGGTTTCATTTGCCATGGAAAAGCTTTTTAATAAAATGAGATCCCAGTTGTTGATTCTTTGTGATAGTTCCAGTGCGACTGAGGTTTTATTCATAAAGTCTGTCTACTTTGTTGCTTATAAATTGCTTAAGGCAATAGCTTTATTGCTAGTATTTAGAACCCTTAGGAAATGACTATTTCTCAGAGATGTCTTTCAAGTATAGCTAGCTTTTGGGTTTTGAGTCTGCTGCAAGATCCAATTAATTGGAGATGAGAAGTTGCTGCCTATTTGTCCTAGCCCCTGGTTCTTTGACACTGGCCTATAGTATTGTTTATGACCCTTAGGCAATCCCAGTCTTGGTATACCAGGAAGAACACCTAATAAGAACAACTATGCCATCTTGGCTAAACTAGTATAATCAGCAATAACAATAGCATCAAACACAGCCTGGAAAATGACAGACTGTGGAAACTATTAATTTGCCACTTTTAACTGTATGAACTATATTTGTGGTTATTAACAAAACCTAAAACAAACCAGAAAATTGTATACAGTAAATAGGCCCTTGATATGGTGATTTTACCTGCAGGGGAGAAAATTTAAAAGGAGTCAGGAGGAAAAAGTAGAGAAATAGAAGAAGAGAAAGATTAGAAGCAAGGCTGGATGACAAAGGAAGATTATGGGAACTTTGGGAAACTGTGGAAGATAAGAGGGAAGAGAGAAGGAAGAAATAAAAACAAGAACAGAACAAGAAGAAACAGTAACAAAAAACCCCTAGAAAAATGTTTATACTAATAGAAAAACAAGAACAGTCCAGAAAAAAGAAAACAAAACAGAACAAAAAAAGAAAAAAAATGTCCACTTCAGGGGTTGTCTTTGCTGTCACTGGTAGACTGAGTGGGCAAACAGAGCCCAGATCTGTGTTGATTAATCCTAGGCAAGCCGGCTGTACATTTATGATGGGGTAGTGGATAATCCCAGCAAGCCTGTACCTTTAGTTCCACTGGAGTTTAGGGTGGTTTCTAGCTGTGAGCCTGGAACCTGATTTGTTCAGCCTGCAATACTCCCATGTGCCCCCTGCCACCTTGAACTTGGTTCTGCCTCACACTGACACTGGGAACCCATAGATGGAGCCAGCCTGCAACTGCTGTATGTTCTGAGCTCAGTTGGCCCCTCTCCAAGATGGCTACTGGTCAGTTACCCTCTCTCGGGGGAAGTCAAAACCCAAATAAGTCACCAGCTCCTGCAGTCTGCTGCATCCACTGCTCCTTTCCACTGATGCTTTTCTCCGTGGGGCCCTCTGGGGTTCCCAGTAATCACTGTGTGTCTGGAGGTTTGAGCTGCCCTCCTATGTAGTAAGTCAGGGCTCAGGGAGAAAGCACTGCTTGCCACCTCCTTTTGTGTTGAGGTCTTTCTCTTTGCTCTTCTCATGGGCTTCAGTTCCTGCTTCAGATCTTTGCTTCCCTTCAAGCTTGGAGAGGCTGTTTCTCTGCTGTCCACCACTCCACCATCTTCTCTGAAGTCTCCAGCACTTTGTTTTCTTACTGTTTTTGTTAAGTGAACTATATGTACTAATTGTGTCAAAATGTGTGGCTTCAATTGATAAGAGATTCCATGAAAAAAATCGGATACAGAATGTTAGGGACACTGCCTCACAAGCTAAGGGCCCAAGTTTGATTCCCGGTACCAAAAAAAAAAAAAAAAATGTTAGGGACATTTGGGCTGGGAGTGTAGTTCAGTGGTAGAGAACTTGCTTAGCATGTGCAAAATCCTGGGTTCCATCCCAAGCACTACAAAGAAAGAAAAGGAGGGCCGGGGATTTAGCTCAGTGGTTCTGGCGGCTGCCTCGAAAGCACAAGGTCCTGAGTTTGATCCCCGGTACCAAAAAAAAACCCGAAAAAAACAAAGAAAGAAAAGGAAACAAATAAAAGAAAAAAGAAAGAACACCCAGGCATGATGGTGTACATCTGTAATACCAGCATTTGGGAGGCTGAGGCAGGAGAATCACCATAAATTCAAGCCCAGCCTGGGTACAAAGTGAGTTCAAGGTCAGCCTAGAATACATAGCAAGACCCTGTCTCAAAAACTAGAACAAAACAACAAGAAACCACCTCCCTAAAAAAAGTTATTGTAATAAAAATTACAATTATATCAAGTATACCCAGAAAAATGATTAGAAGTATATCAGGATATTAATAATGGTTGTATTGATTCCAGTGAGATTTTGGGTAATTTTTTTTCTCTTCTTTATTTTCCAATTTTGTGTGCTAGTATGATTAATGTAAAAGTGGGGTTAGAAGGTAGTATTCTAGGCCCAGGGATGTAGCTCAATGGCTCCTCACCTGCCCACAAAGTGCAAGGTGTCCTGAGTTTGATTCCTGGTACCAAAAAAAAAAAAAAAAGGTGGTATTCTATAAAAATAAATTTTTGATTGTTTATAATGTCATATCTAATAAAATTTTAGATTATTGTACTTATGTAAGGTAGAAGAACTTAGATGGATAAATGGTGTAGTTCGTAGTTTAGTACTATTAATTTGTTTAACTAGAATTTCAAAATTTCTCTGAATTTATAGTTTGGAAAACATGCTTATGCCAGGCATGTAGGGACAGGCATGTAATTCCAGCAGTTTTGGAGCTGGGGCAAGAGGATCGAAAGCTTGAGCCCAACCTGGGCAATTTAGCGAGAGACTTTGTCTCAAAATAAGAGAGTAAAAAGGGCTAGAAATGTAGCCTAGTGTGATGGGCCAGGGTTCAATCCCCAGTGCCACACACACACAAAAAATCTTATCCATTCATCCTTCCATCCATCCATCTATCTGAGACATGGTCTTGCTATGTTTGTTGGTTGAAGAATCTTGTAGAAATTTCCAGTCTGGGGCCGGGGATTTAGCTCAGTGGTTTCGCCGCCTGCTGCGTAAGTGCAAGGACCCAAGTTCGATCCCTGGTACCAAAAAAAAAAAAAGAAAGAAAGAAAGAAAAAAGAAATTTCCAGTCTGGATTTTACTAATTGAGTCTTCAGTCCCTTTGGGGTTTTATAACTTACTTTTCTGTAGCCTTTATTTCATATAAATTGTTAGTTATACCTAGAGAACAGGTCTGATCAGATTTAATGTTAATTTTTTTTTTTTAACATGAATACTTGTTAAGTGGCATTGTAACCCCTGAGAATTCTTTTTTGTTGTTTGTTTTTTTGGTTTAGCTGGGCAAGGTGGTGCACACCTGAAAAATCCCAGCATTTGGGAGGCTGAGGCAGGAGGATTGCTGTGACTTTCAGGCCAGCCTGGGGTACATAGTGAGTTTGAGATTAGCTTGACAAAAGAAGAAGAAGAAGAAAAAAAAACAGCTGAACTACATATGAAACTCTGTCTCAAAAAAGAGAAAAAAAAAAAGATTTGGTTTTGGTTTGATGTGGGCATTGATTTTTGCTGTGTTGGCTAAGCTAGCCAGAACTCCTGGGCTCAAGTGATCCTCTTGCCTCAGCTTCTCGAGCAGCTGGGCCTACAGGTGCCTGGCTTCAGTTTTCTTAATCTATCTCCTGTTAAATCTTATGGCAAAAAATAATAAAAGTTTTCAAGGGTTTCTTACAATAAGATTTCTATGTGTATACAAAAATAAAGTATTGACTTTCACAGCCAGTTGTGTGGCCCGAATTACTGAGAGTAAAAAAAATTGTGTGTTCATAATGACAATGCAAAATCTGTTCACCTAAAATCACAGAGGGCCTTGAGTTTCTTGAAAAGTGAGTTCATAAGAGTTAATAGCTAACTCTTACAAAACAATCAGGTACACAATAAACAATGAAGTGTTTTAGAGCTGCTGCTGGTTGTGCAAGTTCAAGTGTGCTTTGTTTCATGATGACATATAATATGCACTTGAGGCATTTTGTATATGATCCCTGTCTTTTCTATACTTAAGAGCAAATCTAGATCTTTGAATCACAACATAACTCTCCCTTTTTTTTTTTGGTACCGGGGATTGAACTCAGGACCTTGTGCTTGCAAGGCAGGTGTCGGAACCACTGAGCTAAATCCCTGGCCCTAACCCTCCCTTTTAACAAATACTATACTGTTAGTTCATATCCTATGTACAACTTTTTTTTTTTTTTTTT